CTCCAAATTCTCCGTCACAGAAAGTATACCCCAGAAATGTATGAGTATTTCTTTTTACACTCTCCAAGTTTATATTCTATTAAACTCTCTTCTTTTTGCTAATCTTATACTAAACATACATTTCAATGTAATTTTCATTTTCATTTATCTTATTAGGAATGAAATCAAGAAGCTTAACATATATGTTAAGCAACACTGTCTTCCACAATTGAACTAATTTCAATTGAATTAATTTACTAATTTGTTGAACTAATTTACACTCCCACTAACAGTGTAAAAGTGTTCCTTTTTCTCTGCAGCCTCACCAGCATCTATTGTTTCTGGACTTTTTAATAATCACCATTCTGACTGGTGTGAGATGGTATCACTTTAAATCCCTATCAAGGTCAGCGGTTTTAAATGCTTATAGAACTGGTTTAAAGGGGGAAAATAAGGCATAATAATATGAAAGATTCAGTTTTTCTGGGAGGATTTTACAATTGCAAGAATACCATGTAAACATGCTTTTCAAATATCACTTAGCAATGTGGCAAGTATAAATATTGTGAAGATACTATGAATGAAAACAAATCAAGTGACAGACAAACCTTTCCTGCAAAATATAAAATAGGAGAAAATATTTGCAAGCCACATATCTGTATAAAGAATTAGTATCCAAAATGTATGAAGAACTCTTACAGCTCCATACCAAAAAAACCCCCAAAAGTGCAACAACAAATAATCTGGTTAAAAATGAGCAAAGGATCACAATAGATATTTCTTTATGGAAGACATGCAAATGTCCAACACTTATATCAAAAGTGCTCAGCATCACTGATCATCATGGAAATGCAAATCAAAACCACAATGAGATTTCCTCATACATATTAGGAAGACTGTTAATAATAAAAAAAAGTTAACAAGTATTGGGCAGGATGTGGAAAAAAGGGAGCACGTGTATACTGTTGGGGTGGGAATGTAAATTAGTGCAGCTGCTATGGAAAACAATAAGGAGATTCCTCAAAAATTATAAACCCCAACATATGATCCAGTAATCCTACTTCTCAGTATTTATCCAAAGGAATTAATGCTAGGATCTTGAAGAGATAGCTGTATTTCCAGGTTCATGACAATAGCCAAGAAATGGAAGCAACTATTGATGGATGAATAGATAAAGAAAATGTGGTATATACATACAATGAAATATTATTCAGCCTTAAAGAAATCCTGCCATTTTCAACAGCATGGATGAACCAAGAAGATATTATTCTAAGTGAAATAAAGCAGACATTGAAAGACATATACTGCATTGTCTCAATTATATGATGAGTCTAAAACAGTCAAATTTGTAGAAGCAGAGAGTGGAATGATGGTTGCCAGGGGCTGGGGGAGGCATTGTCAGGGAAGTATTCATCAGAGCGTACAAAGTTTCAATTATAAAAGATTAATAAATTCTTGAGATCTACTGTACAGTATAATGCCTATAGCTAACAATACTGTAATGTATAAGGCAGACATTTTGTTACATATTCTTATCACATACATTATCACATACATACACACATGCACACACACAATAACAAGGGCAGGAGAAAACTTTGGAGGTGATGTGTAGATTAATGGCATAGATTATGGTGATGGTTTCATGGGTGTATGCTTACTTCCAAACCCATCATGTTATGTACATTTAATATTTATGACCTTTCATATGTCAATCATATGTCAATAAAGTGGCTTAAAAATTACACAAAAAATTTTAGTAAGCATTTATGTGAACTTATTTGTTGTTCTAGAAACAATTTCAATATGCAAATATATATAGGCATCATCCTCCTTAAAACACAAAAATAGAAAACAAATTTATCCTAACATTAGTTCAATAGATTCTTGTGACTTGGAGTAAAATTAGAACTGATAGCATCATATACACGTTTAAATAATTCTTTAAAACAATTTTGATAAAACTAAAAAATGATATGCTCTGAAACCCACTGGAAGGTGATAAATGCAGCTTCAATTTCTTGAGTTTGGATGAAGGGTGTTAGCCTGAAAAGTCATCTTGTCCTACAACAGACTTACTGTAAACAAGGTACAAAATTAGTTTTATGAATTTACTAAGATATGTTTTTTAAACAAAATATAACTTAACCTATACTGATAAATACAACTGTATACAATATTTATTTGAATTAACCTAGTCACCTAAACATAAATGCATACAGTTTGTATCTTTGTAATGTCCCTTTCTTTTAGGAACAAACCAGTGTATAAAATAGCTCTATAGGCACTATTTATGTGATAAATCAGTCTGGACATGCACTCCAGAAATATTCTTACCTGTAAGTGTAAAATTTAAAAATAAAATTTTGAAAAATAAAAATATTTCTAAGTATCATCAGTCATTAAAGTTTATGTTGCCTTTTAATATTGTTACCACAGTGTTTGAACAATCAATTTGTAGCTCTTGTTTTAAAATATCTGCATTTTTACAAGAAATATAAAAACCAAAAAATTTCCTTCTAAAATAACATAAGAATATCCGTGGTCACATGCACTTGGAATTAGAAATGATAATTTACCGGATGGAGGTCTTTGTCTACACTGTTAACATAAAGAATCAAATCTCTAGTTTCATGAACATGTCATAAAAATACATGCTTCAATAACTTTAATAACATTTTATAACAAGATGTATTTTGTTTGTTTGTTTGAGACAGAGTCTCACTGTGATGCCCAGGCTGGAGTGCAGTGGTGTGATCTTGGCTCATTGCAACCTCTGCTTCCTAGGTGCCAGTGATTCTTGTGCCTCAGCCTCCCAAGTAGCTAGGACTACAGGCACATGCCACCATGCCTGGCTAAGTTTTGTATTTTTAGTAGAGATGGTATTTCACCATACTGGCCAGGCTGGTCTCAAACTCCTGACCTCAAGTTATCCACCCACCTTGGCCTCCTAAAGTAGTCTATTGCAGGTATGAGCCACCACGCCCAGCCTATAACAATGTATTTTTGATAACAAACTGTACTTTCTATATCCCCATTTTTTTCCCCATTGGAAATAAGGATTTCTCAAAGTCTGGCTTGAGTTGCCACCCAATCTTCTTGAGACTATCTGTAGAAGCACCACTTCTCACTTCTTAGTGTATACCGAGTGGTAATCTGCTACCTCAGAGAAGCAGGGTTTTGGGTTAGCTATGCTTGGTGGAGAATGATGGCTTTCTCTGGAATAAGGGTAGCTTAGTGTAAAGCCCATTATTCCAATTTGGAAATATCCCATTTTAGATTTCCTATATCCTTCTTTATCATGTCTTCTAGTCTCATCCACCAAAGGGCACAGGGAACACATGCAAATTTTTTATCACACTTCCGTAGCATGTGCTACTATGTCTTTCTGTATAGTGATTTCATTTTTTTGTTTCTTTGATTATATTCACTGTGATATGGAAGAATTGTGCAATTATACACATTGGTATGAGACAACTAGAAATGATAAACAATGACTCCTATTATTATTTACTGCTTTATTAAGAAGAAAAACATGTATTATTACCTAAACTTACTCTACAAGGCCTATTTAAATTTTAATAATAAAGTTGTTTTTGAAAAGACACTCTTTAATCATCTTCATCTAGCTTGGAAATTTCATAGAACTAAATTACTGAGTTAATGTCTATGGCCTGGTTTATAATAACATAGGTTAAATCAGCCACAGTTCTAGAAGAGAAGCATCATGGTGTGTTAGATCAAGGCTCTCCACAAGAGGTATAGATGTCCTGGATTCTCTACTCTCTTATTTGCTGTGAAACCTGAAAATAGCATTGAACTTCATAAAATGAAGGCGTGTGTCTACTTATCTTGTATTAGTTAGAATATAGGGGATAGGGCAAGGTAATCTTTTCAGACCTCTTATAACACTAAAAGCATTGACTGTTATATTAGGGTTAAATTAGAAATCAAAAGTTGCAGAAATTACTTGACTCTTTGGAGGAGATCTACTTATCCGGAAATGATGTGCCTAACTATCCCCAAACCATTAACAATATAGAAAAAGTTATCTATCCTCTTAAAAAAAACAAAGTATCCCAACTACTAAAGGATATTTTAATTTTAAGTTTTGCTGTTAAATAGTAGAACTCTGAGAAATGAAATAAAGAAAAGCCACTGAATGAATGTTTTGTGAATCAGGACAGCCTTTATAAGGGATGACTTCATAATTTTTCCCTTGCAAGTGTAACAGAGGGACAGATGAAGATGTATTCCAAGTTTTTCAGGGCCAGATTTGCTGTATCTGTGGATTAAGGGGAAAGTAGTTGGATTGGGCTGCTGAATAAAGCTGTTTTGGTAGGCCAAGGCGTGCTTCCATCCACTTTAAGTCTTTTATTACCAACAAAAGTAGAATGACAGCCCACTCAGTTTTGGAAAAGTGCTGATTGATATCCTGCCATTCAGCATCCTGCCATCATCACTGTGGGATCAGTTGGAATGAAACAGGAAAAAAAACAAAACAACAAAAACACCTTTAGCCAGTTTGTTAAAGATGCATCTGTTTAAAATTTCTTTTTGACTAGTTGCTTTTCCTGATGACTTCTTCAGACATTTGCTTTTATTTCCCAAGTTTGTTCAAAGGCTAATGAAAGGTGGGCATAAAAGATTATTTTTACATGCTATGGTAAAGAGTATAGATTATTTATATCCTTGCTTTGATCATCACTTCCATGACTGTCCAGTAGGCTTCATGAACTTTTACTGAGATCAAAACATAACAATTACTGTTACCATGCTGAACAAATATCTACCTGAATAAATGTGTAGAAGTTTCACTTACCTGCTCAGGAGCACAGTTCCTGGAAATGTATAGCATAGAACTCCCATAACCCTATTCATTAAAAACTCTGATTGAAGGGCTCCTTGGACTTAACATATATAATAGCTTTAAAATAGGACTCGAGTCGCTTCTTTTTATGTAGTGGCAGATATGTACTTGTCCTTAATGATCTCATTTTCTTTACTTTTGTATTGTTCAGGTCCACTTCGCTGAAGTAAAAAATGCCCCTCTGAGGCTGCCCCCAGTGATTCCAGTTTCCTAATGGAGCCTAACCAGGTCAGGTGACAAAAGCAGTTTTCTTAGCACCACCTATAGATAGAGTGTAGAACTCTTCTTCCTGATTTGTAATTGGCATGGCCCTGCCAAGCTTCTGGAGCATATGAACTTTTTGTTGCAGGGTTTTTGTTTCTCCCCTGTTACCCACCGTATTAATTCAGGTCATCAATTTGCTACACTTTCCTTGCTGGGCTTGAGATATTCCTCAAGCTGCAACTCCCTTGGCTGTGATTCCAACTTCCTATATGGCTTGTACCAATCCTCTCTCTTGTGGACCCTGGCTCCTGGCAAGAAGCTTGCTATGACAAGAGTTATAATCAACATCAGATGGATTTCTGATGCTTTCCCTACCTGACTGATGGGGACCCTTAGTTACTTAGCCTTAGGCTTTTCATATATTTTGACTCTCGGGCATTGGATTTCCTGGCTAGTCCCCCAGAAGCTAGCTGTTTAAGATTGGCTCGTCTTATGTTCTTTAAAGTCCCAGCTTCTCCTTTCTTGTTGCTACAAATTGCTAAGGTACCAGCTGGTACCTTAGCAATTTGTAGCAACAAGATACCACCATGCCTCATGCCTCAGTCTGTCTAATTTGTAATACTATGGTGCTTATCCCTATATACACATATAAATGCACTTGTTTTTTGTTACTGTAAGATGAAATACACTAAAGAATAGGGCATTGTATCTCCAACTTTCCTTAGAAACCTCAGATCATGATTTGAAAGAAATATCTTGAAGGCCCTGAAGCCACTGCTTGTTTGATCCTTGAGAACCATAATTACTGTCTATAACTTGTTCATGCACTTCTGGATCTATGACTCGCCTAAATGAAATTTCATAAACTTACCTGAGGTCTAAATAGAATGCAGTGCTTGTAATTCCTTGCTTAATTTCATTACTTGATGGTTTCTGGACTATCCAGAACTTCAGAAGGCATTCCTTTCCCTAGCAATATAATTTATATCTAAAATTCCATTAAATTTAGTCTTTGACTAAGTTGAGCAAAAAACATGAGGCTGATATCTAAATAACATGGTTTTATTTTATAGATTCTGGTAGTTGAGAGATATCAAAGTTGTCACTCTGGTACTAAAGCTTTATTCCCTGTAGCTCAAGCTTAATAGTTCTGAATTTTTTTCCATCAACTAAATGCATTTTTCTATCAACACATGTTTTAATTCCCCTTTGCCTCCTGGAAACCTTTTCCTTCCTGGCACATTTCCTTGATCATTTTTTAAATCCTATTCAGAAAGCTTCATTTTCTCTAATACAACAAACCATGGTAAAGCATTCCTTGCTCAGACTTTCTTTACCTTAGCTTTTGCAATGGAAATTAGATTCTTCTTTGCAACTTGAAGTTTATATTAATAGTAATCTCAGGCAAAAGCTTAATTGTGGCTCATGCAAGGCTCCAAAACATTTTCATTGATGTCCCTGCTTCCTGGGCTTACAGTGAACTCCATGCAGAATTATGTGGTTCCACCAATAAACTGCTGGACAACTTTTGGCTTAGTCACTAAGAATTACTGACAGTAGGCCAAACGTGGTGGCTCACGCCTGTAATTCCAGCACTTTGGGAGGCTGAGGTGGGCAAATCATTTGAGGTCAGGGGTTTGAGACTAGCTTGGCCAACATGGTAAAACTCCGTCTTGACTAAAAATTCAAAAGCAATTAACTGGGCATGGTGGCAGGCACCTATAATCCCAGCTACTGGGGGGTTGAAGTAGGAGAATCGCTTGTACTTAGGAGGCGGAGGTGGCAGTGATTGTGCCACGGCACTCCAGCCTAGGCAACTGAGTGAGACTCCATCTCAAAAAAAAAAAAAAAAAAAAAATTACTGTCAATATTGTTTTTAAATCTTCCTTTTTTCTTTCTCTCAAACTACTAACTTCCACTAATCTGTCATGTGTGAGTAAACTTCACCTTGTAAGTATCCCTTCCTGTTTCCCTTGTGGATGTTAGACATCCTGTTGAGTACGGTTCACAAGTGTTGTCCCAGGGATTTTTAGTCAGTTACCATCATTGGGGATTACCTTTATCCCTCTTTATCCTCTGTTTGCTTGACACTAGTCCGCCTCTTTCTTTATTTACTTTGTTTCTGATGAAGACTTTGCCTTTGTCAGGCAACAAATGGATAATTTCAGTTAGAGTTCAACCAGAAAAACAGAACCAATAGGCAATATATAGTAAGGAATTTTTTTTTTTTCTTTGAGAGAGGGTCTCACTCTGTCACCCAGGCTGCAGTTGTGGGAGCTGGTTAGACAAGTCCAAAATTTATAGGGCAGGCTGGAACTCTCAGACACAAGCTGAACCTGATAGAATTTCTTTTTCTAGGAAACCTCATTCTGCTCTAAAGCTTTTCAACTGACTGAAATTAGCCTACTCAGATGATCTAGGAGTATCTCTTTTACTTAAAGTCAACTGATTGTAGATGTCTATTTTATCTATTCTTTCTTTCTTGAGATCTGAAAGATTGTCTCCAGTCTGAAAGAAAGCTTGAGATCTAGAATATTGTCTCACCAGGCTGTAAGTTTGGTGAGCCACCCTTATTTATTGATAGAATTTACCTCAAATGACCTAGATATAGTCTCTCTTCTTCTTGGATACTGTAAATTTTTATAAATACTTATTTTTGATACCACCTTTGCTAGCCTCAGTTTGAATTACTGGGCTTCTATAAATACATCCTATTCTTTCTACAGATGGATTTGATTAAGTTATATTTTTCTTATTTACATTTGATTATTTGTCTGGATTTAGATCTCCTCAGGAAAAAGAAAATGTGTCCTCAGGAAAAAGAAAACATCTCTTGAATATGAAACTTCTACAGTTGGCAACTTTCAGCTTCTGTATTTCAATTGTCAGTGGTTTCATTCTCATGCTTTGGCCTTTTTACAATCTGGCCTAAGCTTCTAAGAGTTTCTAATTGTAGCCATCCAGATAATATAAGCTACATATAAATTTGAACTTCTAGTATGAAGATTCTAAGAATCTGGACATTCTGTTCTTTAATTACTGGAAAGCAACTTAAAAAGTTTAGCATCCAATTTCCTGCTACTATGACAAATTCCATGCTAAACAGCATGGGAAAAATACATTCCAGCTTCATCCACATTAGCAATGAATTTCAATTCATAACCTTACACAGTTGGCTTTAGAAGTACTAGCATTCCCTTCCCACATTCTTATCTATAGCTGCAGCCTCCAACCCATTTCCTGAGACATATGGTTATGTATTTCTTGGAAGGTTTGCAGCAATTCATTACTACATTCAAAATCTCCTGAGTCCAGCTACAATGCAGGGTAATTACTCCAATGTGGAGAAGAGTCAAACTGCATGTGAATGTGCTTCTCCAATAATTATAACCTATATCTTCAAAATAGGGACAAGCATTTTTGCATAGCTTTTAAAATCATAGGGTGGAAGGTCAGTTAAGTGCTCTACATAGTGCTAATTTGGACAATAATCATTAGGAGTACATAGGCTCTATTCAATATTGAACCATTGGCAAGCATTTAAAAATATTTGTACACCAAAAAAAAAAAAAAAAAGGACTTGACAATATCACTGCCTCTAATCAATAGTAGCTTTGTCAACAAGCAAGTAGAGTCACCAAAGGGAAATATTTACTGTCAATTAGCAGTTGGGTCAACAAAGAATTACTTATTGTCAAACTATTTTTATGCTATAAAACATATTTACACACAGTCTTGTATAGAAGCCCACTATATAAAACAAACAAGGACCAGGTACACTGGCTCTTGCCCATAATCCCAGCACTTTGGGAGGCTGAGGCAGGAGGAGTACTTGAAATTAGCAGTTTGAGACTAGCCTGGGCAACATAGGGAGACCCTACCTCTAAAAAAATACAAAAATTACCTGGGTGTGGTGGTATACACCTATAGTTCCAGCTACTCAGGAGGATAAGGCAGGAGGATTGTTTGATCCCAGGAGGTCGAGGGTGTAGTGAGCCATGATGGAGCATTCTGTCTGGATGACAGAGTGAGACCCTGTCTCAATAAATAAAACGATAAGAACGGAGTTGTTCAGCTTGAGGGATATGGGATACACAGAGAGTCGTGAATTTAGCCTCCTCTTCTTAGCACAATAGTCAGTGAATCATATCTAGAGAATCCCAGAGTTCTGCAGAACATACTAGGAAATCATAAATCTAAGTTATTTACAAGAACATTTTGGTTATTCAATTAACAGTGACTATTTTTGCCATATAAAATTGTCAAAATACAAAATTACAACAGATTTAGTTATAGGTGGAATTGGCGTTTATCTGTGACTCATGAATTGGAGCAGCTTCCATTCTTCAAAATAGAGAAAAGCTCCCACTGGGCAATGGCAGAACAGTAGATTTTGTAAAGTGGGGACAAGGAAAAGAGCAATAGAAAATAACTGAGTTGGGACTAGGCCCAGCAGCTCATACCTATAAATCTAGCACCTTAGGAGGATGAGGCAGGAGAATTGCTTGATGTCCAGAGTTTGAGAGCAGCCTGGGTAACAAAGCAAGACCTCATCTCTACAAAAAATAAAATAAAAAATTAGCTGGGCATGGTAGTCTGTGCCTGCAGTTAGTCCCAGCTACTCGGGAGGGTGATGGGAGAAGATCTCTTGAACCTAGTATTTCTAGGCTGCAATGAGCCATGATTGCACCTCTGCACCCCAGCTTGGGTGACAGAGTGAGACACACCTAAAATAAAAGAATAAAAAGTAACTGATAATGTAACATCAGGTACTTTTTTGTGCAGGTTCAAGCAGAGAGGACTTCCTTGTTACTCTGAGTCAGGTAGACTGGATTCTCCTGTTTTCATGAAAAGTTGGTCCATTTGGGATCTGTCTGATTCCTTAAAGCTTTATTCTGATTATGTGCCATTTAGCATGGGTGACCCCATTTTGATTTGGTCTAATTTGTTAGGGACTAGTGCAGGAGCTCAGTCCTAAAACAATGGCCTCCCATCATTTTTGTTTTACAAAACGTAACCAGTAAGTACCAGTTAGTGGCTAGGTTTTGAAGAACTCATTGTACATAGCATTAAAGTAGACATCAAGGGGAAGAAATTGCTATGGAAAAATAAAATCTTGGAGCCTGGAGACAATCTGAAATGAAAACAAAAGAAGGAGTCTTGTTATGAAAAAAAATAACTTGAAACATAAATGAATATAATCACAGGAAGACATTTAAAATACACTAAACATAACTATCTTGTTTGATCTGGGAAACTAGGACTGATCTTGTTTTGTTGACAGCAAGTGCCTAGGGTTTCCGAAAACTATCTAGAGACTAGATGGTTTCAGGACAAAGATATTCTTGTGTTTAGCAGCAATCTATTAAATATAGTGCTTCACTCACCAGCACTTTTGCATAGTTGTTTTGCTTTTGTGGGCATCAATAAAACTGAGACAAACCACAATCCTACAGTATTTTATGAGTCACCAGGAGGAGATTATACTGCATTCACCAGAAGTACCCATATATGATTATAACATGATTTAATATAATATGATGTAATATCATGTGTTACTATTGTTGGAAACCTGTTGGAAATTTTTTATGGTATGTGAAAAGCATATCTTTCCAGTAGCCAGAATATTGTAGAGCTTGGATATTGCATTCCCTGACAGTATCACGTAAGAGATGTTTCTCTGTATAAGTACTAAAGTGTAGCAAAAGTCATTAATGGGACCAGAATCAAGGATATGAAACAAAAAGGTTTTGAGAACTTTAAATGTAGAAAGAAGATTTGGCAGAGAAAGAAGAGGGCATTTCTGTTAAAAAATCTCTTCATACTTGCATAGCTTAAATTCACTTTGCTTATTTTTCAGTTGGTATATTTATAAGGCAGATGTCTTCCAAAAGTAGGTTTGTATTTCAGTGATAATGGCAATAATGCTTTCTTTGTAGAACCTATCTGTGTGATCTTGGCCAAATTAGACTGGGTGAAACATTGAACACACATTTGCTGCTTCTGAATGGTGCTTCATCTCAGTGGCTGAGCCACGTGGATGGCATTCGGAAATAACAGTTGTGCTTCCACATAGCGGTGAGCCAATCCCCAGTGATTCTAAAGGCTGAATGTTCTGGTTCTGCAACCAAATAAATACAATTATAGATACTTAGCCAAACCTGACTAGGTTTCATTCTTTCATTAATTAACACATGTATTTAGATTTTTATAGGCACTTATTTGGGCACTGCAGAGCTGCTGTAGATCATCTAAAGTTTAATTCAGTACGGCTTTCCTTGCTAAGGATCTTGTTATGATTATTCTTATATCTTTCCTTCTGCCCATCTCTGAAAATTTCTCACTTCCCCTCTGGAACACCATACTATGATTAGATTCGCTTCCAGAGACTGGCCATGGCTTAGAAAAATGATTCTGTTACTTGCCAGGATCCCTGTACAGATGCTGCCGAGTCAAATTTAGTGCCAAAGGGAATGTGTGCTTTATTTGATCAGCCTTGATTTCTGAGCTAGGCCCTGAAAAAAGAAAACATGGATTTTGCCAGTATCTATGGAGCCAGAAAAAAGTATTCTGATTACAATCTGTCCTGATTACAGCTGTGATGGTACCAAATGTGGCACTCAGAATATCTGCTATGCTCTCATGGCAACCAATTAATTTCTGTATGCAACAAATGCTAGGGCCTGTTAAGTAGATGAACTGTACAGCTTGTAAAATACCCAGTTCTTAAGTTGGAAGTGACTTTGTCTTTGACAACTTTGCCTTTCCAGAGAAAATCGTCTCCTACCACCCACTCAGAATGTCAGGTTCCTCCTGGTCCCCATGATGATCCATAAATATCTACCCTGAGCTCATGACAGTGATTGGATTCAACATTGTAATTGCATATGCCTGACTTTCCACTCTGTCAATAGCCTCTTCTGTGGAGTATCTCCTAGTGATCATGTCATATCCTGTTAGGTAAATTGTGAACCTATAGGAAGGACTGTATCTCCTAGTTTTATGAGCAAAGATCACTTTTAATTCTCTGTCATTTTCAGAACATAACACATTGATATTGCTTTAAAAGGATGAAACATTGTAGGGCATTTATAAACTTTAAAAGTACTTTTATATCTGTTATTTTATGCAATCCCTACAATTATCCTCTGAAGGATGGCAAATCCCAATTTGACAAAGAAAACTGAGGCATAAAGGCTAAGTGACTTCTCTGAAGTCACACAGTGACAGAACCAGATTTAGGATTCAGTTCCCTTGACTCCTAGACTCAGACTTTTTTTTTTTTTTTTGTTAAATATTGTCTAGTCATATTACTACTCTTTGAAAGTTATTCCCACCAGAAGTGTCATTTTAATTAGATATTTCATACCTTTAAACTCTGTAGTGTGGCTAGCTTTTACAAAATCATGCTGAGTACAGTCAGTGAACACTGCTTGGGTTGCCCAAAGCAGAAAAAAGATATAAAGATGAAACCATCAGACAGATTGTATATATGATATTTGAGAGAGGGTAGTGTAACCTCAGATTCTCCTTGTCACCAAGTTGTGTTGAAACTCAGTCTTTATTGCAGGAACCACTGGGTGCCTTTCTCATGGCCACGACAGCATGGTTTACAACAGTCTTCAAACAGCCAGGCTGTGCCCCAGAACTTCACTGGGCTTCCTTCCATAACTATGGATCTGTGAGCATCACTTTAATTTCAGAGTGTGGAAGAAACCTTAATAAGGATCATGAATCACATTTTACAAATGAGGATACACAGGGTGTAAGCTTAAGTGACCTGTTCTATCAGGGCCACAGAGCCAGTTAAACTTCTTTATTTCTTAACTGAGTCACTCAAAAAACATTTATTTAAAAACCTATTTTGTTCTAGGAACTATACTGGGTACTGTAAATACAACAGTGGAGACGGGGGAAAAAAAAGAAAACAAAAATGATTGCTTTGATGGAGTTTATATATTTCACTGGAATAAGGTAGATAATAAATAAAAGTGAAAAAGTAAATTATAAGGTGGGAGGATGGCTTGAGCCTGGAAGGTGGAGGTTTCAGTGGGCTGAGATTGTGCCACTGCACTCCAACCTGGGCAACAGGGCAAGATGTTGTCTCAAAAAAAAAGGTCAATTAATAGAGTATATTAAAAGGTGACATTACATGAAAGAAAAAGCAGAAAAAAAGGGGAAGTAGTTCTAGGCACTAAGTACATTTTAACAGGGTAGTCAGGAAGTTATTGACTGAGAAAGTGACATTTTTGAGCAATAATTTAAACAGGGGAAGAAGTAAGCAATGAGAATAACTGAGGAAAGCCTGTGCAAAGCTCCTAAGGCAGGAACATGATGACATCATTGGGAGACCAGAGCTAGGAAGACTGGGGCAGCATGAGCCAGATGCAGAATAGTTTGATATGAAATCTTAGAGGTCATGAGGAGCCAGATATATGTAGGGTCTTATAGGCCATAGCAAAGATGTTAGTTTTTTTGTTTTGTTTTGTTTTTGAGATGGAGTTTTGCTCTTGTTACCCAGGCTGGAGTGCAATGGCGTGATCTCAGCTCACCGCAACCTCCGTCTCCTGGGTTCAGGCAATTCTCCTGCCTCAGCCTCCTGAGTAGCTGGGATTACAGGCACGTGCCACCATGCCCAGCTAATTTTTTGTATTTTTAGTAGAGACAGGGTTTCACCATGTTTAACCTGAGTGAGTGAGACGAGGAAACACTGAAGAATTTTGAGCATTGGAATGATATTCTTGAGCTTAGTTTTAAATGGATTATTCTGGGTTTGGGTGTCAAGCGTGGATTAGAGTAAGGACAGTGTAGAACTAGGGAAACCAGTTAAAAATCTATTATGATAATCCAGGCAAGAGAAGATGGTGGCTCAGATCAAGTGCTAGAGGATGAAATGATGAGAAGAGTTCAGATTCTAGATGTGTTTTGAAGGAGGAGCCAAGAAGATTTGTTGAAAGATCAAATTTGGGGTGAAAAAGAAAGGGAGAAATTAAAGATGGCTTGAAGTTTATACCAATTGAAAAGATATATTTGCAATTAACTAAGATGGCACAGCTTTCAAAAGGACCAGGTTTGGAAAGAAATGACCCATTCAGTTTGAGAAATATTTAGTTTGAGATGTATATTGGATATCCAATCAGTAATGTCAAATAGTCAATTGAGTATGAATTAGAGTTCAGGTAATAGAATTGAACTAGAGAATTTAGCTGTCATCAGAATACAGGTGATATTGAAAGCCATGAGAATACCAAAAGAGTGAATGTAGATAGAGAAAAGAAGAACCATCTAAGGATTAAACCCTGGGATACATTTGGCATTTTAGTCTAGAACTCAATCATAGGTTCCTAACAAAGTACGTACTAGAATATTGGCTTAAGGCTCATAGAATTGGATTAACTCTACTTTGTGCTACTAAAGACAAAATTTCATAAAAACCTCTCAAGAATCCAAAGTTTATTATAAAACAAGCTTTTCTTAAATATCAAGTATGTTGAAGTATTGTTCATTTTTATGGAGTAAAATAAGAGCAACATTTCATAGGATTGCCCTCACCCCCAACCTTTTGGGTCTGGTGCTAGTTTGTTCTTCATTGTTTCTGTGTACTTTCTCTATGAAGACTGCAACCCCTTGGACAATTTGTCCCCAACAGACTAAGTATTAGCCAAGCACGGGATTTCTACAGCTATATCAATGAATTGTTTTGGGGACTATGGAACTTTCAGACAACTATGCTCTTTTTTTCCTTGTAGAATGAGAACATTTTTCTAGGAGTTAGTTTTAAGATGGTTGAATCCATATTAGCATTTTAACCCTATCATTTAGGCACTAGTTCAAGGATTTAAGTGTATGCAATAATCAAAAATGCAGATTTTCTGATCTTTTTAAAGTGTGATTTTTAAAAATTTCTATTTTTAACTTTTTTATTGATATGTAATAGTTGTAGATTCTCCAGTCCTATTTTTAGAGATACAGATTCTTTAGGTCTGGAGTAGAGCCTATGAATTGGTACATCAAGTGATTCTGATGCTGATTCAGGATCAGAAGAGGCAACTTACTTTTGACAATGGACAAGTGATTCTGTTATGCAACTTCTTTGATAGAGGAAGAAAAATTTCTAGGATTTCTTGGAGGATTGTGGACAGATTATGATCTTAAAAGAAGTCCTAAAAGTGGACTATATTAAATAAAGTGTGCATCTAGGAAAGAGTGTGTAAGTCCATATAGGGGAGATTTTTTTTTTCTAATAATCAGCTTTATTAAGTGAAGGCTACTTGTGAATGTGTTTCATCTTTGAAGAATAAAGGAAAATAGCAATTTGAGACGTCACAGAGGAGATTCGTTCCTCTGTGGGAAATAAGGTTTTACTAGTTGACTTCTAAAGCTTCCATAAATTATTTTTTAGAACAAAACAAAGAATGTGTAAAGAAATAGACTCTTGGGTTCCTACCAGCTCACAGATTCTTTGAGTATTTTTAAAACATTTGAAAGACAAAGGACTGGCTCATATTTTTATCATAGTTTTTGCTTACTTCCTTCAACATGGAGATATCCTGCTAGAGAAAAACAATTTAAAACTGTTTCCAAATATTTTGGTAAAAGTTTTCACTCTACTGTGGGTAAGTAGTTAATTAGAATTGGAATGACTAGGATTGCTACTATCTTTGGATAAGACATATAAACCACATGAATGACAAGACAGAAATTGTTATATGAAGAGCTTGGCCTGGATGATTTCTAAGATCTCTTTACTTCTAGGTAAAGTTTTAGAACTTCTCTAAGTTCTAAAACTTTGTGGGTTCACATGAGTTTTTATCCACTCTTATAAAAAACTGCCAGAGAACTCACAGAATCTTATCTCTTTACTTCATTCCCTGAACAAAGTCAGGGAATGAGGTAGAGATGACTCTAATAACCCCAGCTCCTTATTCCATGTTTTAAATGATTTTTTTTTAAATTTCAGTAGGTTTTGGGGTAACAAGTGGTGTTAGGTTACATGGATAAGTTCTTTAGTGGTGATTTCTGAGATTTTGGTACACCCATCACCCAAGTACCGTACACTGTATTCAATGTATAGTCTTTTATCCCTCACTCCCCTCCACCCTTCCCCCTGAATCCCCAAAGTCTGTTGTATTATTTTTATGTCTTTGTATCCTTAGGGTTGCTTAGCTCCCTCTTATGAGTGAGAACATACAATGAACGTTTTCCATTCCTGTGTTATTTCACTTAGAGTAATGGTCTTCAGATCCATCCAGCTTGCTTCAAATTCCATTATTTTATTCTCTTTTATGGCTGAGCGTATTTCCTGGTACATGTATATATACCACATTTTCTTTATTCACTCCTTGATTGATGGGCATTTGGGCTGGTTCTGTATTTTTACAATTGTGAATTGTACTGCTATAAACGTGTGTGTGCAAATGTCTTTTTTATATTATGACTTCCTTTCCTCAGGATAGATATCCAGTAGTGGGATTGCCATATCAAATGGCAGATCTACTTTTATTTCTTGAGGGAATCTCCATGTTGTTTTCCATAGTGGCTGTACTAGTTTGCATTCCCGCCAGCAGTGTAAAAGTGTTCCCTTTTCACCATAGCCATGCCAACATCTATTATTTTTTGGTTTTTAAATTATGACAATTCTTGCAGAAGTAAGGTAGTATTGCATTATAGTTTTTATTTGCATATCCCTGATAATTAGTGATATTGAGCATTTAAAAAATATGTTTCTTGGCCATGTGTATATCTTCTTTTGAGAATTGTCTATTCATGGCCTTAGCCCACTTTTTAATGGGATTTTTGTATTTGTTTTTTTCTCATGATTTGTTTGATTGCTTTGTAGATTCTGGATATTATTCCTTTGTTGAATGCTTAGTTTGTGAAAATTTTCTCCCACTCTGAGGGTTGTCTGTTTACTCTGCTGATTATTTATTTTGCTGTGTAGAAACATTTTAGTTTAATTAAGTTCTACTTTTTAAATCTTTGTTTTTATTGTATTTGCTTTTGGGTTCTTGGTCATGAAGTCTTTGCTTAAGCCAATGTTTAGAAGGGTTTTTTTGATGTTGTCTTCTAGAATTTTTATGGTTTGAGGTCTCAGATTTAAATCTTTGATCCATCTTGAATTAATTGTTGTATAAGGTGAGAGACGAAGATCTATTTTCATTCTCCTACTGTGGCTTGCCAATTATCCCAGCACCATTTGTTAAATAGGATGTACTTTCTCCGCTTTGTTTTTGTTTGCTTTGTTGAAGACCAGTTGGCTTTAAGTATTTGGCTTTATTTCTGGGTTCTCTATTCTTTTCCATTGGTCTACATCTATTTTATATCAGTACCATGCTGTTTTGGTGATTATAGTCTATGTGATGCCTTCTGATTTGTTCTTTTGCTGCTTAGTCTTGCTTTGGCTATGCAGGTTCTTTTTTTGTTGTTGTTCCATATTAATTTTAGTATTGTTTTTTCTAGTTGTATGAAGAATTATAATGGTATTTTCATGGGAATTGCATTAAATTTGTAGATTGCTTTGGCAGCATGGTCATTTTGACATTATAGGTTCTACCCATCCATGAGCATGGGATGTGTTTTTATTTGTTTGTGTCGTCTATGATTTCTTTCAGCAATGTTTTATAGTTTTTATAGTAGAGGTCTTTCAACTTCCTGGTTAGGTATTGCCTAAGGCCACTGGAGCCCACCTCTTGCATCAGCATGACCTAGATGTGAGACATAGAGGCAAAGGAGATCATTTCAGAGCTTTAAGATTTGACTGCCCCACTGGATTTCAGACTAGCATGGACCTGTAGCCCCTTCATTTCGGCCAATTTCTCCAATTTCTCCCATCTGGAACAGGTATATTTACCCAATGCCTTTACTCACATTGTATCTAGGAAGTAACTAACTTGCTTTTGATCTTACAGGCTCATAGGTGGGAGAGACTTGC